AGATGGATACGATACGACCTATAACAATTACCTACTTGAATTGAATCTGTATCATATGAGAACTATCTGATTAACCACTGTACACTACAACTCGAAGACCCAGCTCATCCAGAGCTGCAGCTACAGAGCGCAAGGCATCGAGGAGCATCTTCCGCCGTCTGCGGGCGGCTGCGCAGCTAATTTAGTTATGTCCCTTTGGCTGCTTTCGGACTTCAACGACGACCGACCGACCAACGGCGCTCGCTGGCCACGTGGGGACGACAGTGCCAGGTGAACGAAATTTGTCCAGTGTTGTCACCACGTGGCCGTCGGTTGGTCGTTGAAGTCTGAAAGCAGCCTTTCCCTTCTCTAGCATTGAGGCGCAGCATTGTTTGAGCGTCATTCCAGAAATGCACCTTACGACCCATAGCTGCCCAAACACCTGCCTCGCGTCCTTGCCCAAAGTCTCTTTTCAGTACATCGTATATGTGGCGGGTGGGTATATGGGCATTCGGATAAGGTTATGCCATAAAATGAAATATATTGTTTACGGAATTTCTGAAAGAACATTCTCTTAGAAAGCTACCGATCTCAGGAACGCACATATCCTTTTTGAGGCAAACACCACATTTCGGTAGACTATATGAATAAAGTGATGAATCATGGGTTACAGTAATATTTCCTTAATGATTGAGTTGTATGGAACCAGCCTTTACAGTAATCTTCAAAAGCTTACGTGAGGGCCATTGAGTTCGTTTAAATGCCCCTTTCACCTCAATAGCATTTTTACAATTTTCTTCATGAGAGAATGTCAATTTTAATGACATAAGTGCGGTATTTCATGTTGGAAACTTCTTGCAATACATGGTCAATATTATTTGATAATTTGGTTGAAAATTGAAAAGATAACGCTCAGAGGATGCGCCCCGCACTCGACTTCCGACTTTCGACAGAATCGTAGTGGCGTATTGAATGTGTTCATATGTGGCCTACATAATGACTTGCGGTGGTCATCTGTTGTACCAGTTATGCTTTATCCTTCCAGAAGAGTCTGGATCCGATTAACCAACCCCGGAGGGATAAAAGGCTTGGTTGTCCTAGGCGGATATCGAACCGGGACTCGAATTCGTGACCATGTGTGAGACAATGCTCCACTTGTCACTACACCGCTTCCGCCCTTCGATTGACAATAACTTCGATGAATATCAGCTATATTCTTTCTAACTAATAACAATAATAGTAATAGTAGCAATAAAAGAAAATATAATTAATGATAATAACGATCAAATAAAAACTAATATTAGTCAACATTAACTAAAACCACTAAAAAAAACCAACCCTGGAGCGCCCTAGACCGTCCTATTGAGCCACCCAACCTTTCGAGGTCGATAAATTGACACCAGACAATACGATTCTGAAAGGGAGTCGAAGCGGGGACGCATCCCCAGACATTATTGACTAACGCCGAAAAACTCAATCTTTTATCCTCTAATATAGCCTATGGTTTCAGACTAATGATCTTTAGTTACCCCTTTATTATTTTTTTTTTACTTTTAGATATTTGTAGTTAGAGTCGTTTTTTGGATAATCCATTGAGCAGAGATACGATTAGCAAATGTTATTAGTTCCCCAAATTATTCCACAATTTGTCAAAAACGAAATCCAACAAGTTGTGATCTGGGGAAATCAATATTCGTCGATTATTGGTAATGTAGGCGTTCATTATAAGTGCAGTATACATTTGTACAGAATATACTAAATCGAATGATAAAAAACGTAATCAAATAGTCAATGAAAAGGGAGAGATGAAGGAAAGAAGCAAAAATACAGTAATCTGCCGTACAGTGGTACGACTACCGTACCGTGCCATAAAGGCAACAGCCCAAAATTCCTACAGTAGTATACCGTACTTCCGACATAGCAACTTCAAATGGGGTTAATAGATGTTCCGCGAATCAAACACACACATATTTGTAGAAAACGAAGTCGAAAGTGATACGGGAGAAAGCGGTCAAGATCAATAGCGCGGATAGGCGAGATTTCGCTTTCGTCGTAGCAAGTCTCCCGACTTCCAACCCCACCCCGAGGGGTGGGGTTGGAAGTCGGGAGACGAAGGACGAGTGCGGGACCAAGTACGGAGGGGTGGGCATCGACCAACATCCGATCCGCATTGTTCACTGCGTCATCCCGTTATCATCGAAATCACCATGGGCGAAGGATAATCGCATTGATCACATTGTTTGAGAAAAGTCATATGCAGGAAGGCATCAATCGGGGATGATCGATTGCTTCTCCGGGTTTTTCCTTTGTGGGGGATGGAGATGATCACAGATGATCATCGTCGCAACTTGTCTGGGTCATTATGTAACTATGTATCGTACAATCACAACTGATACTAATGAGTAAGTAATCGAGAACCAGAATAACTAGTAAGAACCTAATCAGTATGATAATGATCGCCCAGACGCAGAGGACGCGCACTTAGATATAGGGATGCGACATTAGGTCGCTTTCCACATCGCAGTAATGCCCAACGAGGACATTGTAAAACGGGTCTATACTTCCCTCTGCCGACGAATGGCTTTTTCAGGGAAAATCTGGTCTAAATCACCGATAAAGGCGTTTTGCGGTAACTTCAAGGAGCTACACTCGGAGCGGACCTAATGACCCTCTTTCCATGACCGTATTCTGCGTCAATCGAATCATTACCCAGAGTCCTACAAACGATGGATGCTTATCAAAATGTATGACTTCTTTGTAGTCTTATAGAACGTCTACATACTCTTTACCAGCCGTTCTAACGTTCTGACCTAATGTCTCACACCCCTATCACTCAGAAGACCTCTACATCAACCAAGAGTGTCCTTGTGTCAGAGTCCTTCAGACGCTAAGGTTTAGTGCAGTGTCTACATGTTCTTCAGGATCACAAAGCAAGTCTACTTCCCTGGGTGNACATCGCAGTAATGCCCAACGAGGACATTGTAAAACGGGTTTATACTTTTCTCTGCCGACGAATGGCTTTTCTCAGGGAAAATCTGGCCCAAATCACCGATAAAAAGCGTTTTGCAGTAACTTCAAGGAGCTACACTCGGAGCGGACCTAATGACCCTCTTCCCATGACCATATTCTGCGTCAATCGAATCATTACCCAGAGTCCTACAAACGATGGATGCTTATCAAAATGTATGACTTCTTTGTAGTCTTATAGAACGTCTACATACTCTTTACGAGACGTTCTAACGTTCTGACCTAATGTCTCACACCCCTATCACTCAGAAGACCTCTACATCAACCAAGAGTGTCCTTGTGTCAGAGTCCTTCAGACGC